TTCTCTCTCTCTCTCTCTCTCTCTCTCTCTCTCTCTCTCTCTCTCTCTCTCTTCTCTCTCTCTCCTCTCTCTCTCTCTCTCTCTCTCTCTCTCTCTCTCTCTCTCTCTCTCTCTCTCTCTCTCTCTCTCTCTCTCTCTCTTCCCTCTCTCTCTCTCTCTCTCTCTCTCTCTCTCTCTCTCTCTCTCTATCCTCTCTCTCTCTCTCTCTCTCTCTCTCTCTCTCTCTCTCTCTCTCTCTCTCTCTCTCTCTCTCTCTCTCTCTCCCTCTCTCTCTCTCTCTCTCTCTCTCTCTCTCTCTCTCTCTCTCTCCTCTCTCTCTCTCTCCTCTCTCTCTCTCTCTCTCTCTCTCTCTCTCTCTCTCTCTCTCTCCTCTCTCTCTCTCTCTCTCTCTCTCTCTCTCTCTCTCTCTCTCTCTCTCTCTCTCTCTCTCTCTCTCCGCCCCACCACCCTCCGCCGTGAGGAGCTGCGACGTCCGGCTCCAGCCACGTGAGGCTCCGCTACACCACATCACACAGCAGGGGGCTGTTCTCCAGGGCTAGTGAGGCGTTCTCACGCCGCTAGGGCCGAGCGATGACCGCCGCTCGAGCTCCTCCAGCTCCAGCTTCAGCTCCAGCTCCAGCTTCAGCACCAGCACGTCGCCGGCTCGGTGAGCTGCCGGCGGCCTTACCCCGAAACGCCACGCAGCCGGAAGCTGTCTCTGTCGGAACGAACAAACCTCGACAACGAGCCGCCATCCGCTAATTGAATAATCCCTCGGCATTTCCAGGTCTGGCGCAGGGCAGCGTATTTCCGGTCCGCGCGTTTCGCTCCACGTCGCGGCGTGTTCAGGATGGCACCGCCCCCGGGGGAGAAACGTCCTCTTCTATCAACTGCTCTTCCTTTTTACCAAAGCCACTGGACTAACGCTTGTTATACCATTACGAGGTCGTAAGTAATGTTCAGAACTGGTGACGCTCCAGGGAGGAGAGCTCAGAAAGCCTTTCAAAATGTTTACCTAGGTTTAGAGCCAAGGGCTTAGTCGTATATTTGTCCTACCTTTGAGGTGTCGAGTTTGGCGTCATATACGCTCGGCTTGCAAGCAGGGGTACAATTACAAATAGCGCTTTGTAAACAGTTAATTTCCCAATAGAATCCGTCGTTTAAGTTTCGACCTAGGCATACTCTAATCATTTCTATGAACAGAAGCACAATGTCTATATTTGCGGTGGAGTGATAACGTCATCCGGAAAAGTGGGCATCATATGGAATATGAGAGTAAAGGAGAAGTGGGATATTATAAACTACTCAAGCACTCAATCAGGCATGAGGTTTCTTATTTTAATGAGCCACTTGAACGTCATGTCAGCAAAACCGAAGAATACAGGGCATCGTACTCACGAGAGCATCTCAGCTTGTGCTTGCATCGTATGATTTGTAACATAAATAATAGAAATGATTGCATGCTTTAAAAATACGATCAACGTGTTACTTGCTGATTAGCTACTCCCAGCAAAGGCAATCACCACCAAACCAGTCCTAACAGCGGTGTAAAAATATGTTATGTGAACGATGTCCCCACTTACCTGTCGGACTGATTATCAGGTAAGACGGCATGTCCCAGGTGATGCTGTGTGCCTGGAAACCTGGCACGGCCTGTGCGACCACTACCTTAGGCCGTCGCAGCGGCATAGCCAGAGCCAATGCTATCAAGAGCAGCTCAGGAAGATCCCGCCACCGTGGCAACCCCGCCACCAGTCAGCTGTTGGACCCCGATTCATTTTGGCACATCTTTTACCAGAGAAACGGCACATTTTGCACTGTGTCTCGTGCGTTTCTGATGCAGTGTCTTCTTCAATAGGTGTCGAATATTGAAAAAGTAGTATCCGCCCTTTTCCCCTCATTTTCGTTTTTTCTTGCATCTCCGCGACGCCCCAGTTATCACGGGTTGGATGCACCAGCCATGAGTGGGCTGAAGTGCCCTAGTGGGGGCTCGTGCGAGCACCGTGTGCTACATACCCCGTGTAGTTAGCGGACAAAATGTCCAATGGAGAAGTCGAACGAAAAAGGTCGACCGCAAGCGTTCGCGAGGAGTAAGTTAACGGGGATAAAAGCCGAATCGGAAAAATCGAAGGACGAAACGTCAAAAAGAGGCAAAGGTCAATCGAAAAAGCCGAACAAAAAGCCGAAACATGACAAAATGTATGCAAGTTGACGTCGATAAAGTTCGACAGAGATGCAAGTGGAATCTGGAAAAAGTCAAAGAGCAAAAAGTCGAAACGGATGAAAGTCGCCTGGTATAAAAGTCGAATCGGAAACAGACAAAGGACGAAGTGTCGGAGGGGACAGGATGAAAAATCAAATTGGAAAACAGTCCAAAGCACAAAAAGTCTACCTGAGTAAAAGGGGATTGGGATAACTATAAACAAGCTTGCAGTGAAAACGATTTAAACAAAATACTCATCAGCACTTGACGCCTGGCATGGAAGGGGATGGGCTCAGCTACCACCCGAGCCTCTGTTCTTTTATAATTGAAGAGATGTTTTTCGACCCAATAGTTACGTCTGCACATTTTTGGTCGTGGCATTTCGCATGTTCAGTTTTTTTGTGGTGCTGGACTGCTCCACGTGTCGAAGTTGAGGATTTCTGGAAACTCGAGTGCCAAGCCGTCCCAAATATAACGGTCCGCCGCGTGCCGAACCAAAAGTCGAAGTTTTGTGGAGTACCAGAGTGAAACCTCTAGACGGAGCCAATAATCCAAGAATATTGAATTATCAACGGAGCGTAACGGCTGTAGAGATCGTACAAGGAATGGACAATGGCCGCACGATCAGACCTGCCCTTCAGACCTCCAGCTCATTCCCATCACTCCAATCGTCTGCCGGCGTTATCGCTGCTTTGAGATGTCATGCGGAAGCATTTCTACATTGAAGAAGCAATCTATCACATGCATTCGGGTCACAAGGATCATTTACCCACTTGAACCTTCCCTTCACTTTCGTCGCTGTGTTTATATTGGCGTTGGACGTGAATGAAGTACTGCCAGATGTTATCTGAAATGCAATAATGCGGACAAGTGTTTTGCTATTCATGTATAACGAATGTTAGCTTTCTTTTTACTAACTACTCTACTGGTTCACTCATTTCCAGCAGTTTTGCCAATGTTCGACGAATGCTGAGCAAGCCGTGCCATTAGAAACGTGCTATATATACATGGTGCGAAATTCGTCAGCTACCTTGCCTGAGTGCGTGAAAACAAATCTAAGTCCAGCAGCTGACGAATGATAGCGCAGCCGTATCTTCATAAGTCGTGTTATGACACGGTTTCTGATGAGGCTCTCTGCTGACTGGGTGACGCCGCTCGGCCATCACGCGGCCGCGTTCATCTCCATTCCGGCGGGGTTGAGGCCTGCGTCAGGTGAAGCGGCCTGCCTTCCGCTCCCCCCCCCCCCCCCCCCCCCCTCCCGCGGCTGCAGGGCATGCAGACTCAACTACAGCCTGCTCGGCCACTCGAGGAGGCATTGCCACGGCTGCCGGTAATTTGCCAGCAACGCCGGGATAGGCCCCGTGGTACAGCGCGTGCTTCAGTTACTGACGGTCATGCTACACCTGGGCCCAGTGTCCTAGAATTGCCGACTTTGGGTGCAAAGCAATACCCCATGAGGAGGAATTTTTCACTCCTTTTCCCCATATTTTGAGTGATTTTTT